CCTTTCTTTCGTTCCTTTTTTTTTTTTTTTTTTTTTTTTTTTTTTTTTTTTTTTGAAAGAAGTGTAACTTATATTATCTTTCCATGCTCAAGCGGAAGATCTTTTATATTTTATTTTTCAATAATTGAAGATCATTTTTTAAATTTAATTTTGCACATTTGGCGAGTGGTGGAGCGAGGCCCTTTCCCTCGAACACAACGCATCCTCATCGCGACTGCATGCAACCGGAAGGGAAAGTAGCTTGGATTCAATTTGGGCCTCGCTCCACTACACTCTCGCGTAGGTAGTACTCAGTGTTCTAGTAGTGTACCCACAAGTGTTCTAGTAGTGTACCAACAACAGGAGTGCCAGTAAAGTAGCGTACACTAGTCAATTACACAACACTAGTGTGTCATTGACGGGCTGCTGCATCATGCTTCAACTACTGTTACTAAGTTACTACTGCAGAAGTACTATAAATAGAACACAACTGCTACTGCCACTGCTACTGCTACTGCTACTGCTACTTCGTCTTCTTCTTCTGGTTCTTCTCGTCCTTCATTTCTCCCTCGGACTCTAGTCAAGCAGTACCTCCTATCGCCGCTATATTTCATCATCCCTTTTCGTCTTCTTCCTCCTCGTCCTCCTACTTCATCGTCCCTTTTCCTCCTCCTCCTCCTCCTCCTCCTACTTCATCATCCCTCCTCCTCCTCCTCTCATCCTCGTACCCCTCCTTCACCTCGTACTCCTCCTCCTCCTCGTACTCCTCCTCCTAGTCGTTTTACGTAACAAAGCTCACTGACAGCTAGGGGAGTCGTCCCTATAAGCCAGCCGGCGCGAAGTGTGGCAAAAAAAGGCCTTCCAGGAACGTTGCGTGTTTCTCTCTTCAGTGCCATGCACTTGGTTTCCGGCTGTGCTGCAGTGAATGAAAACACCGTTCGCCCCTGCTGCACCTTTCTGCATCGTTAGCGAGACGCCTACATCTGCTGCTTCTTCTTCTTCTTCTTCTTCTTCTTCTTCTTCTTCTTCTTCTTCTTCTTCTTCTTCTGCTGCTGCTGCTACTGACTATCATCGCCATCCTCGGTGGAGGATCTGATGCTCCTTCCCTCCATTGCTCTTCGTCGTGGGCGTCGGGCTCAACGGTGTTTGGTCGTTCACCTCCGATCATGACTGCCGTCTTGTTCTGAGTAATATATGGTTGTTCCTTTCACAAACTTCGCATTGCCAAGCACTGAAGGAGACTCCAGCCATTGATTTGCAAGGTCGGAGAGCTTCATCGCGGCCTCTCTTTGGATTCCGAATCTCAGGAGATCACAGGATCGATCCTCGATCGAGCCAAGGCGATGCGTGATGCAATCTCGCACTGTTGTCCGTTGGAGTCGAGGGAGGATTGCAGTTACTACTGGTTGACTCTGGTTCCATGCCCCTGAAGGGAGGAATCGGAGGATTGCACTGCCTTCAGTGCCTTGATCTCGCAGTCGCTTAGAAGTTAGACCCCTTTTTGTGTGTCCTCAGAGAGAGGCTGATCTATGCTGCACTACGCAGATGCAGATCGGAGATATTGATTGATTGACACGTGAAATAAAATTAAATATGCTACAAGAGTAGTAAAGCCTGTAAAGGGTACTATATTATTAGGTCTCCAGTGTAACACAGCGCAAAGAAGACCCGAGCTTAAAGGCGCCCCGGGGAATAGAGAGCGAGCTCGGACGGCCCTCCTAGACCACCTGTCTGCAGCGCCCGGAATCCGGATCGCAATCCATCGGTTGTTGTTTTTTGTGCGGTTTTGAGATCGAAAGCGGGATTGGGGTTGGGTTTGGGGTTGGGATTGGGATTGGGATTGGGATTGGGAGTGGGAGTGGGAGTGGGAGTGGGAGAGAAAACGAACGAGGAAGGGGCATTCGCGGGAGAGGCGAGAGTGCAAAGCAGATCGGGATCCTGACTGACGAAGCGAAGTCAGGTTTGTGGGCGGAGTTAAAAAAAAATAAAAATAAAAACATATTACAGCCCACAGAAAAAAAGCAACAAAAGAAAATTATTTCAAAGTGATACAAGCAAACGCAGAGCAGAGGTGATCCATGGCAGGGAAGCGTGGAGTACAGCTTGGTTCTGCTTCTGAGCTTACGGCGATGGCAACCATCCGAGGGGCACTGGCGGAATTTGTGGCATTGATGATATTCAACTTCATCGGCTGCGGTGCTGTAGTCGTTACCGGTGAGAAGCCAACGCTCCGCATACCAGCCTACTTTTTTTTTTTACTTTTTTTTTTTTTTTTTTTTTTTTTTTTGGGNTTTTTTTTTTTTTTTTTTTTTTTTTTTTTTTTTTTTTTTTTTGGGTCGTTTTTTTTTTTCCTATTTTTTTATTTGTCGTTTTCTCCTTTTCTTTTCTTTTTTTTTGGTTGATGCAGGACCTTCTGCCGCGTCGAGTGAGTGGAAGCTCGATCTTCTTGCTTTTCCCTTTTCTTGTTCTTTTTTTTTTCTTTTTTCTTTTTTCCGTTGAATATCTTGTACGTGTGTCCAGTTTTCGTACAACACACGGGGTAGTACTACGCGCCCCTAACCTCCTTCATTGTTATGCTCCCAGTCCTATCTTTGTTTTTTTTTTTTTTTTTCCCAGTCCTATCTTCCAGGTTGGAGTGCACTAGCCAAACTGGGTAATGGCCCCAGCCCTATCTTCCGGGTTGTTGTTTGTTGTTTGTCTGTTTGTTTCTGAAAAAAAAAGTATAATTCTTTTAAGCCCAAATAATTCAATTACCTGTCGAATCTGGACAGGATGGTCTCTCAGGCCTTTTCTTATTGTGATTATAGTATTACGGGTTTGTTTGTTCTTTTTGAAAGAAAAATAAAGTCTAATTCTTTTAAGCCCAACCAACTCAATTGCCTGTCGAATCTGGACAGGACGGCCTTTCAGGCCTTTTTTTTATTGTGATTATAGTATTACGGGGAACCCCGTAGCAGCCACATCCGTGCTCAAGCCTCCAACGAGGGAACATGCGGGAGCTGCACCCACCAGCAAATGTTTGTTATTTTTGAAAAAAAACGTCTAATTCTTTTAAGCCCGGCCTTTTTTTATTGTGCTTATAGTATTACGGGGAACCCCGTAGCAGCCACATCCGTGCTCAAGCCTCCAACGAGGGAACATGCGGGAGCTGCACCCACCAGCAGGTGCGGTACCCGCTACAGCAGCAGGTGGCCGATACCGGCCAGGGGTCAGCCGGTAGCATCACGACCGAGCTTTTCCTTCGATGGGCCAGTCTCTGTGCCTCCCCTCCAGTCCCCTCCCCCTATGAACATAAGCAGTCTCTGCTCAATGCCACTCGGGGAGACCAACGGCATATCTCTAGCTGGCAGGCGCCAAGCTTGCCCAGGAAGGTACATGAGCTCAGGCCAATTGGGATTGAACCCAAGACCTCCTGAATGCCACAGTGACTTGCCATGCAGCCTGTGGCAGAGCCCTCAGTTGGTAAACCAGTGAGCTGTTGAAATAATAATATTGTATTTTACTATTTTCCATTCTTGCCCGTGATAAGCAACCGGACTGGTTCCCCCCAGAATATACAGGGGCTCGTTTTCCTTTTAAAAATAAAAATAAGTAAATAAATACAAACCCAAATTTCGTTTTCCTTTTAAAAATAAAAATAAATAAATACAAACCCAAATTCGAATCCATATGCAATCCGATGGACAGATCTTGGACGGTCAAATCTCAAGGATGATACTTTCTTTTCTTTTTTTTTCTCTCTCTTTTTTTTAACTCAATGATGATACTTCTTCTGTAGCCCTTTTTTTTTCTTTTTTCTTTTTCTTGTTTCCCCATCATTTAGCCACCTGGGTTGCGGTCGGGGTTGGGGCCTGGACGTCTGAAGTGCTCTTTCGGAGTCTTTCCTTTGTTTTGTTTTTCCCAAACTGAATTGTCTATCGCTTTTCAAGAAGCCAAACTCTTGCTTTCCACTTTTTTGCGTGCAACGTCTTTCCACTTCGCCTTGAAAGCAACAGCTGCAGCACGAAGCTCTAGATGTGCATAGAGAAGCTTGATGCGCATCGAGCAGCCGCAGCTGACGAAGCTAGCTCCTCCTTCGGTTGCAGACCGTGAGTCAGTGCACTGCGACCTGCAACCTGCAAGACCCGGTGGCCTCCCCCCCACGTTATCGGCATGTCCTCTCTTATTCATTTGTTTATTTGTTTGTTTTTCTGCCCTTCGTCCCCGAGGCTTCCTTTCAAGCTTAATAATCTAAGCTTCCCCTCTGTCGGCCTCTCCGCCTGCCTGCCTTCCGGCCTGCCTGCCGGCCTGCCGGCCTGCTTGCCTGCGTGGATTGTCACACTGACATGCATTGCCACCCAAGGAAAACTTGCGCGCGCCGGTCATGCGTGCATGGATTGAGCACGTACTACGTGCCGGGCATGTGTGCATGGATTGAGCACCTACTACGTGCCGGTCATGTGTGCATGGATTGAACACGTACAACGTGCCGGTCATGTGTGCATGGATTGAGTACGTACTATGTAAATTGCGTGGTAAGCTATATGCCTGTCATTACCGTGCACTGCCCCCACAAGAAAACGTGCGCAAGAGTGAGCATACGTGCGCATGTGTCACAATCACGTCGTACATGCGTGGTAAAACGTCGTAAATGCGTGGTATACATGTGCATGTGTCACGTCGTATATATATATATATAGTCAAACAGAGCTGCCCGGTAAACCGTAGGCAGAGCGGGAGAAGAGGACAACAAACGAGGGGAGGGGCTGTGAGCCTGTGACAAACTGTTTCGTCGGAGTTTCACCGACAGGAGGCTGTATATATATCGTCACATGAGTATCAGAGCGCAAAGGCAAAAAAAACAGAAGAAAACAAGAAAAACTTGCCCCCTGTTCAGAACCTCTTGAGCGGCGGCTGCCCCCACCCCCGTGTATCATATCGACCCACTTGCACATAGCCAAAGGGCAAAAAAGGGAACAGCCAAATACAACAAAACAGGGGGCAACAAGCAATAGCACCAAAAACGGATCCTAGATGACAAGTCCCACATGTGTGTGTGTGTGTGTGTGTGTGTGTGTGTGTGTGCATGTACTGTGCACTTCGTAAATGCGTGGTAAAACGTGTGTCAGTCATTATCGTGCATTGCCACCGCAAGAAAACGTGCCAAAGATTGAACGCACGTGTGCATGTGCCACATGCACGTCGTGAATATGTGTGCATGCGTCACACGTGCACGTCGTGAATATGTCTGCATGTGTTATGGACGTCGTAAATATGTGCCGGACCTTAGCAACCTCGACTTCTTGGGCCCCTATTCGTCAACTTGTTTTTTCTGCTCAATGATGATGCTTCACGGGTCTCAGCCGTCGGGATACCGGTCTTAGTGGTCACCGTTTGTCTGGTTGTTTATTTGGCTTTCTTTTATTAATCCGAATAATAGATGTCATTATAGCTGCTGTATTTAGAGTGATAGATACCCCAAATACAGCTATACACTAGCGGGGGTTTAGTTTAGAACCCTACCCTTCTTCCCCCAAATACAACGTACGGTCATTATATCTGTATTTAGACTGAAAGATAGCTCAGTGGTTAGAGCACCCGTTGGAAATGCGTATTGTGGTATGAGGTTGTGGGTTCAAAACTCCACAACTTCGCGCATGGACACCGGCAGGGCGTTAGAATGACGCACGGCTGGACACACACACTCCCCTGGGCTGACGCATGGTACTATTACGGACACTGCCTGGGCACCACCCAGGGGATAAGTCCATGGGTATTGTATGCTGGCCTAGTCCTCACGTTGGTCACTGGTTGTTGTTGGCTTTGGTCGCTCTGATGATCTCCCCAGTCCAGATATCACACACAGTAGATTCACTTCCTACGATAGTACAAGTGGTAGAACCCTCCAGTTTCACACTGTAGGTCATAGGTTCGAGTCCGGTTCGGACTTTGGGGGAGACCTGTCTCTACCACATATTCACACACACACCCCAGATAGCACAATCACGATACCTAGTCTATCACATATCATATACACATACCATACACACATATATATATATAGCTACTCCATATTTGCCAGGGATGATTCTCTGGAGGGCCTTGGGTGGGGACGTGTGGCTCTCTTACGGGGAAGCTGTTGAGGATGAGTGCTGCTCTCTTGGGTGGGGGGGTGGCATGGGGGTTGAGGGTGCATGGTGATACCGTGGCAGTCCAATGGTTGGGAAGGGGTGCCTTGTAGGGAAACCAATGCCGAATTAAGGGGTGTATCCTACTTTCGTTGGCTGTAGACCCATTCAGGTTAGGAGTGAGTTGGCAGCGGTTGGTCGAGGGTAGTTGATGATGGACGAGGTCTCCTCCAATACCACTGGTCAATTCTCCCTGGTGAATAACAAGGTACACACACACAGTTAGGTACTAGTGGAGGTGGTAGGAGCACCTCTCACCAGTACGCAGTACTCAATTCGGAGAGGCTCTATAGTGGGGAGTAACATATAACCATACATATATAGCCCACAGGCACATATCCATGATACACAAACACACACGCATCACAAACGGCTGGGTGGAGGTCACGCAGGGGCCAATAGGTGATTGTTAGAGCCTGGCGTCCGAAGTACCCGTACGGCAAGGCTTGTTCGACTATGCTTCAACCAGGGCTAGGTCGCTAGCCCTGGTGCCTGTCGCTGCTGTTCGGTCCAAGTCCCCCTCGATACTGGTAGGGTGACGGTCCTGAGTGCTGGTCACACTAAGGTAGGATAGTAGGGATAGGGGATACACTAGGAGTATTGACGTGAGGTTGGGATGGGTGGTAGCCTAGCCTTCCCAGAGCGACCAGGGTAGACTACTTCCGGCAATCAACATGTGCCTAGTAACCGGCCTCTACAACACCCTGGACTTAAAAAAAAAGCTATAATTATGACCCTACGTTGTACTCGGGGGAAGAAGGTAGTACAGTGTGACATGAGTGACACACTATAATTGCCATTGGATCTAAGTTCATCTAACAGATCGGCCACCGGGACATAGGGGGTTCAAAGAGAAAAATAATTAGAAAAAAAATAATTAGAAAAAAAATAATTAGAAAAAAAATAATTAGAAAAAAATAATTAGAAAAAAAATAATTAGAAAAAAAATAATTAGAAAAAAAATAATTAGAAAAAAATATTAGAAAAAAAATAATTAGAAAAAAAATAATTAGAAAAAAATAATTAGAAAAAAAGAAAAGAATAGTCTCTTGGGGTTGGCAATGCCCACACAATCCTTTTCCAACCCAAATGCCCACTGGCAGCCTGTGGCAGGGTCTTCTTTTTTTCTAGCCTCTCCTACAGTCTTCCCCCGAATACAAGGTACGGTCATTATAGATGAATTTGGGGCATCTTCAGCTATAATGACCGTACCTTGTATTCGGGGGAAGACTGTAGGAAGCAGTAGGCTTGAAACGAGGACCCCCTCGTGTCCTTTCCTTCGTTGACAAACAGTCTCCGAAGAAATCTGTGGTGGTCTGCTACTTGTCAGATACGAATGCCTTTTTTACTTTTTCTTTTTTCAGCTACGAATGTCACGGCTCGTTTTACCTTTTCTCACTCCCTACACAATTGATATACTAGAATATCTTTTCGGGCAGCAGCCCAGGAATCTAATGGCTATTTTTTTGTTGGGTGGCCCAGCTGTCACATGAATCCAGTGGCATGTAGTTGGCCCCCAATTTTTTGATGGGTGGCCCAGCTGTCACACCAATCCAGTGGCACGTGGCCCCCATTTCTTTGTTCCGTGGCCCAGCTGTCACTGTGACACGAATCCAGTGGCATTTGGCCCCCGTTCAGGGCCTTCAGGCAAAAGAAATCCCATATACTAGGGCCTCTCTCTACTACAGTAACTCTCCACCTGCACAAATGACGAAAAATATGTTGCAGTATCTTTCCATGCTCTAGGGGCAGATTCATTCTCATTTTGCAGTGTTGGTCAGTTGTGGAGCGAGACTCGGAGCCTCGTTCGACCCCACTTGAAGAAAAAAAATACTTTAGAGTTTCAAGTGCACACTAAACGGGCAATTCGTGACTAATTTTAAATCTACACTTTTGCTCTATTTATGGTTCCACACTTGAACACTAGAGGATTCCGAGACCGTTGAACAGGCTGCACACTTGAAAGTTGGAACCCAACTCCACGGCTTGCTGACCAATCCTGGATCAGGATGATCAGGATCGCCTGCTGCCTGGCTGCTGGAATAAAAGAAAACCAAGGAAAGAGCCCCACGTGGAGTGCTTTGAGGAAATTGAGGAAACCCTTGTTGAACAGGCTGCACACTGGAAACCGAACTCCACAGCTTGCTGAGTCGTCAGAGTCGATGCTGACCAATCAATCCTGGAGCAGGATAGGCTGCTGGAAGAAGAGGAAAACAAGAAAAAGCTCCCACTTGGAAAACAAGCCCCCACTGGCAGTTGAAGTGCAGGCGGTATCCCCTGGGCCCGGGCACTTGAACTCAAGGTACCTCAAGTGGGATCAGGCCCCAGAGGCACTTGAAAGTTTCAAGTATACACAGTTGAGAGCAGGAAATTCAATTCCAAGTGACAACATTATGCGGGGGTCATTAGGGAGGGGGGTGGAAAGAGGAATTTTCCGTCAACCCTTGACTCAGAGTTCAAGTGGTGTTGAACCAGGCCCTCATAGTACCATTTTCTGCTTTCGCTTTTCAGGAATGGGGGGTGCCACTGGATTACCAGTTTGTGTGACCCATTTCGCTCTTTGTAGAGCCTCCTTTCTTCTAGATCAGGTTAGGTATCGTTCATCTAGTGTCAGTAGTGCACCCTTATGGCCTTGCCTCCAGTTACTAAGCTGAGCGAAAGAGCCGTGGACACACACACACACACACACACACACACACACACACACACACACACACACACACACACACACACTGACACACACACACACGCACGAACAACAGCACCCTGGACCCTGGTCCCTCCCACACACACATACCGAAACACAGAGGGGCACTCCTGCACCTGTGCCGTGCGTGCAGTAGGGCTGAGTGGTGAGTGTGTGTTCTTCAGTGAGCTTATTAAATAAGCTCACTGAAGAACACACACTCACCACTCAGCCCTACTGCAGGCACGGCACGGGTGCAGGAGTGCCCCTCTGTGCAAGATGTAGCTGACGGCAATTATGGGCAGATCCAGTTGAAAAAACTCCTACTTTTACTATACTCTTTCCCCACTGGCAGGCCATTGCTGACATTTAGTGCTAATGGAGTCCTTTGCTTAAATTACCAGCCAGCAGATTGATTTATATTGCGATACTCTGCAGCATACGCAGTTGAGCGGCTTGAGCCTGCATCGCTGACCTTACTAGTATTTTTTGGGTCGTGTTTACTGTTGATTCTGTGTTGAATGGTCTTGATCGAGAGTCTTGACGCAAATAGACAGTTTAATAGTTTATGTAACTGTTATTTTTACTACAGTAACTGCAAAGTTTGCAATCCCTAACATTTACTGTACTTGGTTGTCCTGTTTACTGTGATCATCATTGCCTTTGCATTGTGCCTACCGCAGGCTGGACCAGGAACCAATCAGGGGACGTGGATTACAATGGCAGAGTGCTGTGCATTGCTATGGCACACGGACTCACGATCGGGATCCTGGTGGCAGCAACCGCAGGCGTGTCCGGAGGGCATATCAATCCCGCTGTGACGTTTGGAATGCTGCTGACTGGACGGATCACACTCCTCAAATCCGTTGTCTATTGGGTGGCACAAGTCGTTGGAGCGATTTTGGGAACGGGTCTTCTTGCTGCCGTCGCACCCAACAAAGCGCAGGTAGGTGAGGGCACTGAGGGGGATTCACAAGCTGAGCTGGCTCCGCTGCCCCTTCTTCTTCGTCTTCTCCCTTTTTTTTCTTTTTTTTCTGATAAATTTGGACCATTTCTTGATTTATGCGTGTCATTGTTGAGCAGGGGCCAAGCTATTCTTCTACCTCTGTATCGTTCCAAATTCCAATCTTCAGGCGAACATTAAAAAAATATATTATATATATTTTTTTAACTCTGAAAAATCTGAAAAAACTATATGTCATCATTGTCATCGTAAAACAACATTAGAAGCAAACTGGGTACTGTAAAGGTCTACCGGTGTGGAATGCTCTTAGCCATTAACCGTGGGAGGAGGTGGGTTGGTACCTGCGCTCTTGAGCTGAAATGGCAACTGCCCTACCTGAGGCTACCTTGAACGAACCCCTTATTAAAAGAAAATAGAAAATGAAATACAGACCTCAGTTCAAAAGTCAAATCCAGATGGACTCGGATGAGCAAGGACCTGGCCACACCACTGTGGAGATGCATCTACTGGCAGAGAAGGGCAACATGCATAGGTTACAATTAATACTATAAACCGATGTATCTTACCACTTTTCTGGGGCAGATGCATTCGTTCTCTTTTTGTTTCCACAGTGGTGTGGCATGGCGAGGCCCTAAGATAACTCTGCATTATGATGGGAAGCAGGCAGACTCAGGCAGACCCTTTACAAAAAGAAAAAACTTCAAAAAAAAGGAAAAAAAAAGAAAAAGAAAAGGAGAATTGGGGCATACTCACACTACCACCTTTTTGACTCCTCTCTGCCTCTCTTCCTCTCTGGACCTAATTGCAGTCAGATGCATGCAGGTCAAGCCAGAATTTCAGTCAGATACATCCACTGGCAGGAAGGTCGTACAGTCTTTCCCTGGAAAAGTCAAAGTCAATTTGATTTCTTGAAGTCAGTGTCACCCCCCGAAATCCAAATCGTGCGCACTGCGCACGTTCAAATAGTATTCACGCATGTACGTTCTCATCTAACAGACGGGTTTAAATCCAAATCCTTTGTCATACATGCGTACTGGCCCGCGGCCGACATATGGGAAATGTACTGGTGGTTTAAAGAGGAAACAAGGAGAGAAAATCAAAGGTAAGTTTCAAAAATAGCCCCGCGGCGGACCGGCGGTAGTTTCCCAGCAAAAATATTGCCGGGGTTCCAAGTTTCATTGCAAAAATACATGGTTCGTTGCAGCTTCAGAGGTCGACTCCCCGTAGTTTCACTTCAACAGCAAAATCAAAAAAAATTGTTGTGGGCGGGGTCCCACGACTCCCACCCACTTTCCTTGAAAAAAAAAGATATTTCGTACCCCTACAACAGAAATAGCGCGTTTAAATCCAAAAAGTTAACTTAAACCACCAGTACCTCCTAAAAGTGCTCTGCGTTAACGGCCAGCCAGCCAAAAGTGGAAATGGCGCCGTTTCCACTTCAAGTTGGCCGAATCGAAACCACACCGGTTAACGGGGAGCACTTTTAGGAGGTACTGGTGGTTTAAACGCGTTTCTGCAATTATACCAATTTGAAAAATCAATAGGATGGTGAGTTCAATCCCTTAAACCACCAGGACTTGGACAGCTACAGATGCCGAGCCGGCAGACCCCCTGCGCGGCAAGCTTCCCAAACCGCCGCGGGGCCGTTTCGACTTTCTTTTGGCTGGCGCTTCCAGCCATTGAGGTATGGTACCCCGAAGCCCGGAAGTTGCGGGCCGTTAACGACGACAACGGCCCGCAGCCGATGTATGGGCCAAGTACTGGTGGTTTGAAGTTTTTGTGCACAATGTCATTTCTCATGGTCTCAGAAAGAAGGTCAGGAATCAGGACCTGGTTTCCAGATCTTCCCGGATTCCCAACTGTGAAGGGACCCTGGACCCCGTTTCCAGACCTTCCCTGATTTCCAACCTTTGCCAGACATAGATCACCAACATAAAGAGTTTTCAGCTGACTGTAAGACTTAGTATGTCCTGCTTAGCCCTCGTGCCTACAAGCGCTCAGCCTGTCCAGACGGGGAACCCCCCTTTGATGAGATGGTAGCAGCAGCCTGCTACTAGCAGGGTGACGGTCCAGGAGCTATGTAAAACCCCGTACGAATACGGGCCGTACGTACGAATGTACGGTCGTACGTACGGGCTCATGTGGTAGTACGGGCCGTACGTACGGAAAAAAAGCAAAAAACAAATTCAAAAAAATCTGGAAAAAAAATATGTTATGCAGAAAAATAAACTGAAACCCTTTTGCCTCAGGGTCTTGAGAGAAAAAAACAAAACGATTCCTTTTTTTTTTTTTTTTTTTTTTTTTTTTTTTTTTTTTTTTTCGTACGGGGCTGTACATACGGCCGTACGTATGACCGTACGATAAACCCCCCGTACGTCGTACGGAGAATTACACAGTCCAGGAGTCCAGTGCGACTGCCTGCTCAGCCTTGAACATACTAGGAGCCCAGGCCCCAGTGCGACCCCACTCGGGCATCCGGTGCTCTTAATAATATCACCTGGGTAAGTGGGCTTCCCACCTCAAAAAACAAATTTAAAGAAATAAACGAGAGGATGTCATTCCTTAATCATTCCCTCCAAGCGCGAAATCCAAATCCAATGGTCTGCGATTTGCACACGATCAATTATAGGTCAATCGCTCTCCCTCCCTCCAAGCATCGAACCTGCAACCTGCTGATTCAATTTGGATATCAGAACCCCTAGTACCACAAGGAAAGTGGTGCTGGGATGAAACTGCAGCTTTCAGCACACCCCAGCACCATGGTCAGTACATCACATGCAGCCATGACCTGGTGTACCCAGTCACATCAACCAAGTAGCCCTCTCCAAGCCATTCCTCAAGGGGGGTTGCATGCCAAACACCCCTGGTACTATTTCCCAGGCGTTCAGTGCATGCTGCGCTGAAAGCTCATTATTGCTTAATCATGGCCTGCAGGCGCAAAATCCACTGCATTGGTCCAGAATTCACAAATCAATTAATATAAATAAATCAATCGCTCCCTCCAGGCATTGAACCTGCAACCTGCCGATTGAACATCAGAGCCCTTACCGCAAGGAAAAAGGATGCGGGGCGGCGGGTGGAAACTGAAGCTCACAGATGCAAATAATTTCAGCCTACCCCCATGATCGCAAACAGCGATGACCCGGTGTACCCAGTCACATCAACCATGTACCGCTGCAACCCCCCCCATCAGCATTCAATTTGTGTTTGGTCCTTCGTTGAAGTCTCCTTCGAAAAGATAAGAAAAAAAAAGAAAAAGAAGTCTCCTTCAATTGAGTGTTATGCTACTGACTTTAACCACCACTCAAATGGCCCCTGTACACTGTCAGACTGTGTCAGTTCATTTTTCTTGTCTGCAAGTACGGGGCAATTTTATTTTTATTTATTTATTTATTTATTTTGGGAGGAGGGGGAGAGGGGGGTGCAAAAATTTACAGTGCCTAGTACGCTGGGTACAACAATTTCTTTTTCTCAGGGTGGCACTGTCGATCTTTTTTTTGGTGGGGGCACGTCCGTTTATGTCGCAACAGAGTTTCAAATGGGCGGAAAAACAAAAACAAAAACATGCGGGGGCAAAAAGAACAGCCGCCGAACGCGGAAGGGTGGTGTCAGGCCGGGTGTCATAACTACAGGGGCCGTCCATGGTGCCAGGCAGGAAAGGAAAAGGGAGGGAAAAAAAAAAAAAAAAAAAAGCCCCAACCGGCCGATTTCGACTGCCAGTCCCCTTTTCTTTTTTTCTTTTTTTCTTTTTTTTGGGAAAAAGCAAGAATTCCATGAAAGACCAACACTGAGGCCGGGAATCCTCACAAACAACCCGAAGCGACTCAAGACTGGAGTCACTGGACGGCTGGGCCAAACCCAGCAAGAGTTTAGTGAGCATTAAGCTCAACAGCTTGATAAAACAAACACACTAAAAAGTTAAAAACCTTTCCCCCATGCGATCCTTTATATGATCAAATTTTCCTTTTCCTTTTGCTGTACCCAAGGCCCGCCAACCATGCAACAAACCCAGCTGCAATCAAACAGACAACAACCAAGACCCTTACGCGTCAACCTACACACCATGACGGGGTGTATACCCCACTCCTCAACTCCCTAAACCCTAAAC